AGATCTGATTAAAAAATCATCTGTTTTGTAATAAGATAGTTGTTTATAATGATAGTTTGTGCATTTTGGACAGTGATTTCCTAATTTTACCCTTAAGTTCTTTGAAACTCTTGGGTAGATGTCGATTGGCTTGTCAATTTATCTACATAAACAGATATTCCTAACAGAAACCTTTAATTTTTTATTGGGATATATGATGCCAGAAAGAGAATTTATCTTCACCCATTTGCTACAGAAGAATATTTGTTGCAGTTTTATTTTATTTAAAGACACATGATGATACTGTAAGAATTTGGATTTCATGGTCAAAATTTTACAACTGAGGTACTTTTTATAATGCTGTTTTATGCTAAATATATAAATATGGGAAAATCAACATGATTTTAGTCAACATCCTCTAAACATTTCTCTTGTATGGCTTCGGTTAGCACAGTGTAAAGCCATTTCTCAGAGAAAAGTAGACTTAACCAAAGCGTAGATTTTGTTTGTGACTTTTCTATTAGAGATAGGTTTATTATTTGGAATAAAAGTTATTAAAAGCAATGGCAAAAACCACAATTAACTTTGAACCAATCTAATATTAAATTAAAAATTTCTGTACAAAGCTTGGGACAAACCCATAGGCAACATAGATCCAAATCTCCTCTCTACGCTTCTAATAAGTAATCAAAGCACAATGACATTTGTAATATCTCTTAGGGAATAATAGGAACCATGTGTTTTATATCGTATCAAGTAGTGCTTGCAGTACGAAAGCTGCAACCGAATAACTTTGAACAGATAAGAACTCACAGGCTACTGTTCTCTGTTGTTCTCATGAGCCCTCCTTTAGGAAACAACTAGATGATTTCACCCAAACTAAAAATCACTGAGGCACATTTCAGCAAAATGTCTGAATGTATTTTAATGCAAGTCTAAGACAAAATAAAGGTGTACATAAGAGTCACTGATGATATATGTCCAGGCAAGTATAGAAATGGTATAAGTATGTAATGGGGGTTAGGGCCAGGAATGGGAGGAAAAAGGTGAGCAGTAGAATAACCTTGTTGGTTTCCTCTTATATGATAGCTCACAAATCAAGTTTTAGAGATATTAGCATATTTATTCACATAAAAGTAAACAGAAAGAAAAATAATCCTATTGATTAAAATAGACATGTAGGAGAGGGAAATCAGGAAAAACGAATGTCAATAATAATTTACTTATAGTAAAAAATTCAATATTGCTTAAAAGAAAAGGAGTCAGAATATTGTACTAAAGCAACTGCTACAATGAAGGACAAAATTTCTTGTACACATAAAGGTTTACACAAAATAAAAACAATATGGAAGATTGGTGTCAAATAATGATAGAGATAAGAAAATTCATAGTAATATTAATACAAGTATATGTAAATCTACCAATAATACCAATTGCATGTGTTTGCATACCTAAGTCAAATGATTCATAAAGTTTGAAAATGGAAAGTTAGGCAAAAGTAATAAGTGAAACAGCAATAATGAGAGTCTATAGGCAAGAATTTTTACTAAATACTTAAATGGGGTTGAGTAGTGTAGATGCCATCACTTATACCTTTCCACCTTGGGATAGACCAAAACTATGATAGATTTAGGGTGGTATCTCACTCTGAAAGTGCCCTAGGAGTTTCATAAATCTTCACATTGATGTTTTTATAGCAGATTCCTAAGCATATTAAGAATTAGAAAATGTCTTATGAAAAAAATGTCTTTCAAAAGATATGTATATTAAAGAAAATTCAGGGAATACAGTCATGTAGAAAGAAGAAGCTGGGCGTGCTGGCTTACGCCTGTAATCCTAGCACTTTGGGAGGCCGAGGTGGGTGTATCATGAGATCTGGAGTTCGAGACCAGTCTGGCCAATATGGTGAAACACTGTCTCTACTAAAAATACAAAAAAAGTTAGACAGTTGTGGTGGCGGGCACCTGTATTCCCAGCTACTTGAGAGACTGAGGCAGGAGAATCACTTGAACCCGAGAGGCGGAAGTTGGTTGCAGTGAGCCAAGATTGTGCCACTGCGGTCCAGCCTGGGTGACAGAGCAAGACTCTGTCTCAAAAAAAAAAAAAGAATAGGGAAAACACGGTTGCTTTAACCAGTCATAAACACTTGATTTTTCAAGTACTATTATGTAGGATACTTTCATTTTCAGGTTATTGAATATTCATGCAACATATATATGCATATATATATTGCATGTATGATCTTTAAAACAAAGTTAGAATATATTAAATATACACCTCAGGGTAACATATTCATCCATTCCATTAGGGTATATGGACATCTACGGGAGCAGAAACATCGTTAACTTTTTGTGAATCATGGTCTATCATTGACACTTTGATTCTATTCCATCTCTTATGACTACTCCTGCTATAATATCATGCTGAATTTTGCTGATTTACATTTTGTTTTAGCTCTAGAAGGCTTTATTTTTTTTCTATGACTTTTGTTTTTAAAATGATTTCAGTATTTATTTATTTTAGAAACTGATTATTACACCTGAAAACTAATCATTATACTCCAGAAACATTACTTAAATATTTAGTTTGAATTCATATTTTCTTTGAATTTGTTGCAACAAACTAATATCCACTCCTCTCACATGTCTCCATTCATCTTTATAAAATGTGACAATTTTTCTTTAAATTTGCATCAAGTATTTTTTAGTATTTCTTGTTGATTTTATCCTTAGTCGCTTGGTTTTTTGTTATTGTTGCTGCATCTGAGAATATTGTTCTGTTTTCTCATCTCCTGAATACATAGAATATTGATTCTTGAATTTTTGCTTTCTACCTGAGGAATACTAAAGCCAACAAAAACAGGCAATAGGGAAATAACTCCCTACTCAATAAATGGTGCTGGCATAACTGGCTAGCACATGTAACTGTGTGCCATATGTGAAAGTATGAAACTGGATCCTTCCCTTTCACCATTTACAAAAAGTAATTCAGATTGAATTTAAAGTTTAAATGTAAGACCTCAAACTATAAAACCCCAAGAAGAAAACCTAGGAAATGCCCTTTTTGACATCAACCTTGGCGAATAATTTTTGACTAAGTCCACAAAAGCAATTGCAACAAGAAAAAAAATTTGACAAGTGGGACCTAATTAAACTAAGTAACTTCTGCACAGCAAAATATCAACAGCGTAAATAGAAAACCTACAGAATGGGAGAAAATATTCACAAACTATGCATCTGACAGAGTTCTAGTAAGCAGATTCTACAAGAAACTTCAACAAATCAGCAAACAATAAACAAGTAGCCCCATTAAAAAGTGGCAAAGAACATGAACAGACACTTCTCAAAACAAGACACACAAATGGCCAACAAACATGAAAAAAATGCTTCACACCACTAATTGTCAGAGAAATGCAGATCAAAACCACAATGAGATACCATCTCACGCCAGTCAGAATGGCTACTATAAAATCCAAAAACAGATACTGGCATGGCTGTGGAGAAAAGGGAATGCTTATACACTGTTGATGGGAATGTAAATTAGTTCAGTCACTATGGAAAACAGTATGGAAATTTCTCAAAGAACTTAAAACATAGCTACCATTAGAACCAGCAATCCAATTACTGGGTATATATCCAAAATAAAACAGGTCATTCCACCAAAAAGACACCTGCACTAGTATATTCATCTCTGTACTATTCACAATAGCCAAGAGATCAACCTAGTGGCTCATCAAGGTGGATTGGATGAAGAAAATATGGTACATATACACCATGGAATACTATACAGCCATGAAAAGAATGAAATTATGTCTTTTGAAACAACCTAGATGGAACCAGAGGCCACATTCCTAAGCAAATTGGTACAGGAACAGAAAACCAAATACCATATATTTTCACTTATAAGAGGGAGCTAAACATAGAGCATACATGGACATAAACATAGGAACAATGAACACTGCAAACTACTAGAGTAGGGAGGGAGTAAAGTGGGCATGGGTTAAACTACCCATTGGGTACTATGCTTACCACTGGGATACAATATACCTATGTAACAAACCTGCACAGGTAACTACATGTATCTAAAATAAAAGTTCAAATAAAAAAATAAAAATAAAACAATATAAATTATTTTATTGGTTCTGATAAATCCAGCTATACTACTTAGCTTTCTAAATTACCAGTCATTTCTTCATAATATGAATTATTTAGGTTGATATTTATATATCAACTATAGTTATTTAGGTTTTTTAAAACTCTAGTTATAATGTGTGGTTGTTCATATTTACATCCTAAACCTGTCAGGCTTCCAGCTCAGCAATCTATAGCAATAGGTATGATGCAAAATTATTAAGCTGTATAATAAACATTTTAATATTTTGAGCACACAAATATATCATGAGAAAGTAGCAAAAGTATTATTAAATATTATACTTGATATCTGTATACTGATAAATGAAAATGCATATTTGATAAGAAATAATTTTCTTCTATCAATGCCCTCCAGCCATAGATTACCAATTGAATAAGTTGTGCTTATTAATCATTGCATTGAAAAAAAAACACATAGTGTAGAGAACTATGGAGTGTCTTAGTAAGAGAGTGTTAAAGAGGAGTTATTACAGGATTTAGAAATGTGTTAGTGAATTTGGGGAAGATTTAAGAAAGTACAACTTTGCTCTGAATTAGATGATGTCAAGAAGGTGGAATAATTATGTAATTATTTATTTATTTATTTATTTATTTTTTATTTTTTTTAGTCTTTATTGGAAAGAAGTTTTTTTTTTTTTTTTTGAGACGGAGTTTTGCTCTCGTTACCCAGGCTGGAGTGCAATGGCGCGATCTCGGCTCACCGCAGCCTCTGCCTCCTGGGTTCAGGCAATTCTCCTGCCTCAGCCTCCTGAGTAGCTGGGATTACAGGCACGTGCCACCATGCCCAGCTGACTTTTTGTATTTTTAGTAGAGACGGGGTTTCACCATGTTGACCATGATGGTCTCAATCTCTTGACCTTGTGATCCATATCATATTTTGAGTAACTCAGTGCAGGCGCTCAGTGTGCCAGCTGGTGGGGCCCAGCTTGTAATAGGCCCCACAGCTAGGGCATCGCTGGGCCTCGCCTTTGTGCAACCAAAACCAGATGATGGTACTGTTGTCCTCTTCACAGATACAGCCCACTATTCTCTTGTTGGTGACAGAAAGGACTAAATTAGGGTCTTCCTTAGTGCCTGAAGCTCCCTTTGGGGGCAGTATGTTGTATAGGTCCAGTCCCTTTCTTGCAGCCAACATGATCTCCCTCTCCAACCCAGTCGCCTGATCGTCATCACTAGGAACGCCACCTCGAGAGGCCATGGAGCGCACCGCGGCCGCACCATTGGGACCGCAAGCCCTCAAGGCCTGCGCGGCCAGCCCTCCAGCTCCGCGAAGTAACCTTGAAGCCATCGTGTCCGCGACAATCAGCAGCACTTCCGGAAAACCTATTTTTTATTTTTAAATTAAAAACATTTATTGGACAAATAATAATTGAAAAATAATAATTGCACATATTCTGAGGTATACGGTAATGTTTCAATACACATAATGTATAGTGATCAGATCAGAGTAATTAGCACATACATCATCTCAAACACATCATTTCCTGGTGCTGGGAACATTCTCTATCCTACTTTCAGCTATTTGAAAAAATATTATTCTTAACTATGGTCATCTTATAAGTGGTAAGATTATATATGACTTCACATAAAATAGCATAAGTATATACATATGCACACATTAATTATCACATAACAGATGTAACATGGTTAATGAGATTCTTTTTAAATTAGGTGATATGTATCTTGAGATAGAATATAAAACAGTTTTCTCTCCTTTCAAATATTATAGATAAATTATGATAGTGAATAATGTTTTAGCATTTTTTAAAATTGCAACAGCCACTTTTGTGAGTTTTTTAAATAAATGGATTTTAAATGAAATATTGATATCTACTAAACATAATAATGGATATCTACTAAAAGACAACAACAACTCAATTAATTCAGTAAATCTCGTAATTTTCCTGTCCACTGGGATCATGTTGTAATTTATATATTTCCTAGGACTAGAAAATAATGGCTGCATGTTTTCAAATTTCAACATTTTGGATGTTAAAGATATCATAAATAATATATGTTCTATGTAAGTTGATGTTTCTGTTCAATAGAATACAAAAAATAAGCTGCTCTGCTATTACTCTGAGGAAGAAATAAGGCCACATATAATACAAGACCTTAGATCTAGATCAATGTTTAGCTTTAATCATCAAGTCAGCAGGGGATTTTATTTCAACTAGCAACACTTAAAACTCCAGAACCAAGAATTGCTTTTGAAGAATGTCTTTCTACTGGTAATTCATTGTAATTATGTTCAAAACAAAGTTGTGAGTGCTGTAGAAAGTGACAAGCTCAAGTAGAAAAAAATAAATGAAAGGATAATTCACAAAAGGGTAATTCTCAAGCTGAGTAACTTTATAACAATTATTTTTGTCTCTTGTTTTAAGTAGTCTATATATATGTACAAAGTAAGCAAAATATCACAGATTTAGTAATATTTTACACTAATAAAGTATACATCAAGATGTTAATGTTAAATATGTAAGATATTTGTGGAGACAAACAAGAATGTTACCTCATTTAGGTTTTCATCCATTTTGAGCAAAGGTTTTAAAAATATTAGAGAGAAAATGGCTTATTTTCACTTTTCAGAATATCCTAGTGATATTTCTTTCTTTTCTCTATTATCTTTTACATCTGTATTATATTCACAACTGGTCATTTGCTATACACTGGAAAATGGTGCTAGCTTTATTTTTCCTTGGTGCTCTTACCTGTTAGTTTTCTTTTTCCAAGCAATTCTTTTCCTCCTTACATGATGATATGCATTTATTCTGGAACCATGATACATGCACTTGATTCATATTGGATATACAAAGAAAATACCAATTGGCATAGCTTATAGTTATTTATGTTTATTGCTTTGATATGATTAAAGTGGTCCTAAGCAGAAATTATATTTATTTAGAAATATATCTATTATTTTGAACACTTGCCTATAAGTTATTTATTCATTTAGTCCACTAGAATAAAAAAAATATGCATTGTTTATAGATATTTCCTTAATGCCCCCTAGGAAACACATCATATAGAGAGTAAGAAACAACCCACTAAGAAAGATTTAACAGAGGTTTATGTTGCTAATTAGAATTGGACTGACTCCATCCTGATTATTTCAAGTTCATAAACTTGCTCAAGGGAAGTTATCTTTAGAACCAGGGTGTGAAATGTGGAAAATTTTCGTCGTCTTTGAGTTTTCAATGTGCTCTTGTTCAGAACATATGGGCTTCTTATGCATATGGAATAGCTAAAAAAACCTAATGTCTCCCAGAGAGTACAGACAACAAGTGCTACTAGTAGCGAGATTTCTTGTTCTCCTTTTCTGATAGACAAAGGACTCCTCCTGTCCTAATTTGTGATGTGGGGCGGGGTGTGGCAGGGGGCGGAGAGCCATGGTAGTGATCAAATCATGATGAGAGTTGAGAGTTAAGTGATCCTTCTAAAAGTTAGAGTAATCATTGAATTTATAGCAACTAACTCCATACAGGTTTACTTGCTGCATCTTCAGTTAATTTATACACAATCATGTACATACTAACAGAAATGCATTTCCTCTTTCTTCATTCTCAAAATCTCTATTTCCTGTCCTGCCAGAAATTTCCCATCCCTCAGCTGTGGGGATTCTGGTAGCTGTCAGTTCACACAATTTAAATTTTCTTATAAAAAGTCTTTTTCGGTAGAGGAAGAGGTGGAGAAGAGAGAGAAACAGAAAAAGAAACTGTAACTGCGTTTTGGGTTCACCTTGCCTGCTGCTGAGACAGAGTCGATTTATCAAGAGAGGGGAATTGAAATGGAGAAGGAGTAATTCACACAGAGCCA